ATGAAAGTCAAATAATCTGGAATAATAAATATTTTTCTATTAAAATTTATTTAAAATTCTATAGAAATTTGGTATTTTTATAAAGAACAACTATATGTAGGGTATTTAAAAATTAATTGTAAAACAATTAAAATTTATTTATTTACACATATATGTATATGTTTTTATCGCAATCGGCGTTAAGTTGGAAAAATTAATAGTCTGCGGTGTCCGCAATCAATTTATCCCAGTCGAGTTACAATCGTCGCATTGGCTTCATCGTCGAGAGATCAATTGAAATTTATAGTAAAAAGTCGTTTTACATAATTTGTTAAAAAACGAATTCAAATGACCGTCAAATAAATAAAACAAAATAAAAATTTTATTTGAAAAAAATAAGTGAAAATGTTGTGAATATTTAAGAAAAAAATTAAAAAAAAAATTGCATAAAACACGCCTCATTATCGGAAACGCCGCGGCGTAAGCGTTGGAAGCTTATCACAGAACGATTTTACGCCCCATTGCTTGCAACAAATAAAAAATATATATGTTTAATTAAATAAATTTTAATTCTTCGATTTGACTTAATTAAAATTAAAATTAGTTTAATATAAAAGGCAAATGTTATTTCGGTTGTTTGACTTTAAATTGTTCGAATTAGCAAAATAGTTTGAAAACAAATCTTGTCGTGTTGAGTCTGTGCTTCAAAAAACGTTAAAATTTATTAAAAATAAATAATTTTGAAAAATAAATAAATCTCGCAAAGTGAAACGAAAGTAAATAATAATAAACAAATAAAATAAATTACATGAAACTGTAATGAAATCCTATGTCAACCAAGCTTATTTACCAGAAGAAATGGAGCCAAATGTTGTTTACTACACAGCTGGAGTTAATAGTGGTGTTAAATTTTCTATGTAAATATTATATATATCTTTTATAAAATTTTATTAATAATTTAAGAAATTTAAAAAATATGGTGTGTATTTTTTTTAATAAATAATGTAAAATTAAATTTATATATAAAATAAAAAAAGAATAAAAACAATTAAATTATGTTCCACAATGTGTCAAACTGTTATGCGTGCCATCTACTGTTGGATTACAACTAAACAATTAAATCATGTTCCACAATGTATCAAACTGCTATGCGTGCCATCTATGGTTGGATTGCAACAAAAACAATTAAACTATATTTCACAATGTGTTAAACTGTTAAGCGTGCCATCTATTATTGAGTTGCAATTTAACTTAACTTCACATTTCGGTTTGTGTATTGACTACAAACACTGCTAATACGAAATGTGTGCAGTATTGTCAGTATAAAAATTTTTAGTTGATAATTATTAGCTGTGATTAGACAATTGATAATTTTTCGTATTGATACGAATAATTTTTATTTACTGTTTTTTTTATTTTTCACTTTACTTTTTATTTATTTATTTAATTATTTTTATTATCATTATATTATTTTATTATTTGTTTTTTAAAGTTTAATTAGTTTTGCCGAAAAAGCTACGATTTCTTGTAATGACAAGGAATCTATATTTTATTAAAATTTAGAGGGTTTCGAATAGCAAAAAAGAAAGGCCAAATACAAAAATTTAGTTAATTTATTGAAATTTGGCTGATCATCAGTGGTCTTAGGAAATAAACGAATTTTATTTAATTAGTTTATAGTTCGTATTTAATTTGTTTGGACTGCAAGTGCCACACTTACAACTTGTGCTTGTCAAATTAGAATTTTAGTTATTTATTTTATTTATTTATTTACTTAATTTTATTTAATTACTGTTTTATCGTATAATACATATGTACCAATTTATAGATTTATTTTTATATATATATATATATATATATATATATATATGTAGTTGTTAAAGCAACTACAAGAAAAGAAAATATGTCACTTATATAGATTTATAATTCACATCATCTTTGATATTTGACTTCTATAAAATACTTAAAACAAATATAATTTAGCGTGTATATTCCTAAGATATTAGGTGATTTGATATAAAATTTGTTTTTGTGCATGGCTCACGTATGAGTCTTGTAACAAAGTTGCATTGAGTTTGCATTGAATGTAGAAGAAGAAAATCTGTTTGTTATTGTTAATTATGAAATAAAAAGAAATTACAATTAAAAAGAAATTACAATTAAAAAGAAATTACAATTAACAAAAAAAAAAACTAGTCACCCTTGTATTCACCTTGGTTATTGCAGCATTAATAAATATTTTCATTTAAATAAATTTTTTCTGTTATTTATTATATGTAGGTTAAATATTTTAAAATATACTATTACTAATAAAATTGAAATTTAAAGAATTGTTAAATATATGGTCCATAGATAATGGATAAATACGAGAAGGACAATTGAGAAAAAATTTGTGGATTGTGAATATATTAATTCACTAAAATTTTATTTAGTGCTGTAATAAATCAGCTTACACATTAAGTCCGTAAAAATATTTCATATTGTGATAGCCTTGATAAGGGTTAGAGTTTCTAGACTGCCTAGACAATTCTGGACCTATCATCATTACAGCCGCTCCTCTTCTTGCGAGTTTGTCTGCCACCTCATTGCCTTGGATTCCAGCATGTCCCGAAATCCATATAAAGTGAACCTGATTCAGGTATGTTCAGCTTGTCAATGCACTGCAATACCAGTTTGGATGTCATCTTATAAGACAGGAGTGACTTTATAGCACTCATTTAGTGGATTAATAACATATGACTACAATCACAATACACCTGTTAAAAATTCAACATTTCTACTCAATTGTTTTTCTCGTAATAATCCATTATTCCTGTATATTTTAATATATTTAACCTAATAGTTAATTAAAAAATATATATATAATATAATTAAAAATATTTATTAATGCTGCAATAATAGATGTGAATGCCACAGTAACTAGCAGTTTTATTCTTTATTAATTACAATTTCATTTAATATTGTAATTAACAATAAGATTAACAAATAAAATTGACTAATGAAGTTACGGTTTTCCATCTCCTATGCAAATCTATTGCATGACTCATCCGTGAGCCACGTTCAAAGACAAATATTATATTAATCATCCTATATTTTGAAAAGAATCATATTTAACCAAGTTTGTTTCAAGATCTTTATAGAAATGAAAAATCAAAGATAATGCGAATTATAAATATATATAATTTACACATTTCCTTCATATTGTTTTAATTAAGAATTAAGTGTAAAAAACTGCGTTTCTAATATCTTAAATATTAAATTTTACATAACATAATATTAATTTTTAATGCATTTGCAGTTCAACTATCAAAAATTTAATTATATTCATTCAGCAGGATTCCTATTTTTTGGAGCACTACGATTTGATAACGAATTTGTGTAAAGTAGTGTATTCTGGGAAACTCTACAACGCCATAAGCCGATATGTCTTGGTTTCCAAGATAAAGTTGTTTACTTTTTATTCACTAATAATAATTACGCACCATCTAACTCCAATTGGTATATAAAATTTATATATTGATAATATTAAATAACTGATAACAACAAAGAGACGCGGCAGATGCAGTGGAAAAATTCTCAAAATAGTGAAAAAACTTGCTCAGAATTAAATACTTTACTCAAATTCTTTGTTAAATCGGATGTTCAATAGATAGCAATAGTGCCATTAATTGAATCTGGTCATGTCCAACACATATAACTATATCTATTTAATTGTAAATATATAAAAATGATCTTTCACTATTAGGATGAGATATTAGAAATATCTCATCGATTTCAATTCATTAGGAAATATTATTGGAAGTGAGAAAAAAATTATTATAATTAATTTTCATTATTAATATTATTTTATTTACATAATATATACATTTTAAGTCATTATATCTGTTCTTAATTTGCAATTTAATTCCTTTTCACTTTTAAAAATATTTTATTTACCTAATGCATATATTTTAAGTTATTATATCTATTCGGAATTTTTATTCGGAATTTAATTACTTTTTATTGTTAAAAATATTTTATTAACATTATATATAAATTTTAAGTTATTATATTTGTTTTTTATTTGGAATACATATACTTTTTATTATTAAAAATATTTCATTTACATAATTTATAAGTTTTAAGTTATTATATTTGTTTTTTATTCGGAATACATTATTATTAAAAATATTATTATATATTATTATTAAAAATATTTCATTTACATAATTTATAAGTTTTAAGTTATGACATCTGTTTTTTATTTTTTATTACTAATTATTTTTCATTATTAAAAATATTTTATTTACATAATATATATATTTCAACTTCTTATATTTGTTTTTTATTTGGAATGTAATGACTTTTGATTATTAAAAAAATTTCATTTACATAATATACAAATTTTATGTTATTATATATGTTTTTTATTTGAAATCTAATTACTTTTTACTATTAATAATATTCTATTAACATAATATATAAATCTTAAGTTATAATATCGGTTTTTTATGTAATTATGTACTTTTTGTAATATGTACATGTAATTACTTTTTATTATTAAAAGTATTTCATTTACTTTATTTACATATGTTTAAAGATATTATTTCTGTTCTTTATTGAAATTTAATTATTTTTTATTATTAAAAATATTTCATTTCCATAATGTATAAATTTTAAGCTATTATATTTGTTCTTTATATGAAATTACTTTTTATTATTAAAATTATTTCTTTTACATAACATATAAATTTTACATTATTATGTCTGCTCTTTATTTGGATATTTATATTTTATTCAAACAAAAACAATACAGCGGTAAATAGTATACATAATATATATAAATAAATTTAATAATTAACATAAATATTATGCTTTGTTTGAGTAGCGTTCATTGCACTTGACTATTGTCATACGCACCACATTCTTTCCCCATACATTTCTTACCCTGTATCAGTCATATGTTCGCACAGTGTTCTATTTCATTCGTTCCTCTTGAATTTTTCATACATAACAGAATGTCAAATGTATTTCTCTTTACATTTAAGTTTGTCTATTGTAACGTTGAAGTTCGGCGCGGAAAGATATTTTTTATTGAGAAAAGTGGTTATTTAAAGTGTAAAGTTATTTAATCTTGAAATAAGTGAAATATTCCAAACAAATTAACTGAATCAATTTGAAACAAACAACGAATCTGTTTACTAATATAAGTTAAAGTTGAAGTTAACACACATTAAAAGAATCTACTTTTGATGAAAATATTGATTTTTCAATTTTCTTGCATCAATTAAAAGAAAATTTTTAAGTTATTATATAAATTAAAGATAAAGCGTCAATAAGATTTCATATAACTTAAAGAATAAAAGTAAAGTTTTGTACTAATTGCATTTTTCTTTGAAGAGGTAAGTTTTACGCCTTCCCTCCTACCCACACTTGAGCGTATATACATTATATGATTTTCCTCAATTTGGGTTGAAAAAAAAATGATTAAATTTAGTGTATAATTAGCTTAAGATTCTTGCCATCAAACTCATAATAACATCACATCAATTTATGATAATAAAACTTTTTTTTTTTTAAATCATTTATATAAGTTTTGTTTTATTTTTATTTAATTTTATTTTTTGTTATTAATTTTATTTGCTTTTTGCATTGTAGTTTTTGTCCTTATCGTGATATGTATGTAAAAATTCCGTTTGTTTGGGAACAAAAAAAAAACAAAAAATTTAAAAATTGGTATTGTTGTAGTTACTTCACTTAAAATGTGTTTATTCTAATTTGTTTATTTTTTATTTTTTTATTTTTTTGTTTTTTATTTTTTTGTTTTTAGTGATTTTCATTATTTTTTGTTGTAAAATTCAATCGTCATTACGCACTGCATAATGTTTGCCATTGCCGTTAGCCAGCATAAATGTGTGTGTGAAAAACAAGTGAATTGAATGCTTCCTGTGCTACTTCTATTTTCTATTTTCGGAGCAGTTACATTCTTAATTTAGCAATTTTGTCACTTTTCCTTAATTTATTTGGTGCTATAAAATAGAAACAAAGAAACAAATTCTTTTTAAAAAAAAAAATTTGTATTGAATTAATTATTTATTTATGTGCCTTGCGTAAAAAACAACTGTCAAGTGTGACGTCATTGTTTTTGCAATTCACTCAATCCATATAAGCCACAACCATTACGTATATATATAGATTTCCCTTTTCACCTTATCCTATTTTGCAATTATGATTGCTCCACTTGCGCCATACACTTTCGCATAAGTCATCAACATTTGATGACTCTAACATTTCTGTTACAGTAAGTGACCTTTCCAAGTAATTTCTCTCTGTTAAACTAAAATACAATTTGCAATTCCAACACCAACAACAATACACAAGTCCCTTTTGTGCATTCGAATTGCAGCTTGTGGACTGACTTAATGTATGGTAACACCGCTCTCGCTAACGTGTAAATAAAAAATTAAATTAATTCTTTTGTTGCTTTTATTAAACTGATACTTCAATTAATGTGAGTTGTAGTTTATATTACAAAAAATCATAAGCAAAAGCAAAAATAAAATAAAATCAAAAAAAAAAACAAAAATAAAAATAAAATATATAATGAAAATAAAAATGATATTCTTTGCATATTGTTATCGCAGGTGTTCGAACTGTTGACCGTTTTAGGTCAGGGACTCTTGATAAAATGAATAGGCATTAAAAACAGTATTAAGCCAGTATTTAAATTGCATTTGTTAAGTGAGTTACTCATTGCGGTTTTAATTGCTTACTTGATTTCAAAAATGAGTTAAATATAGAAAAGAAAATCAATAAATAAAAAAAATATATATACATACTTTTCTATATTCCAAAATATTAAATAATATAACATAAAGATATAACAAAAATAAATTTTTGGTTCCCATTGCTATAAATAAAATGAATTCTTAAGTGCGACTCTTAGACGTCAATTTTTACATAAAAACGTTACATGCATACACACATCACTGTAACAATAGCAATCGAACTCGTCACCCATCTATGTATGTCTCCGCATTGTTATATGAAAGATGATGATGAAGGGTTTGCGACCCAATATTTTTCATTTTTATTGTTTTCTGCATATTTATGAGTGGAGCTGTGTGCTTTATATGACGGATGCTTATATATTAAAAATTCTGTTAAGGTTAAAAGGTAAGGTGGAGTCATCATAGTGAAGCTAAGGAAAAGTAATTGGTGTTTACATAACAAGTTTTAACAGAAACTTTGATAAAAACGCTTTAAAAATGTATAAGGAAAAGTCCAATCTTAATAATAAATAAAAAAGTTTTATTGTCTAAACAACTTATTTTAGTTCATATTGAGTTTAGCAGAAACTTCACAGTCTTTTTGGGTATAACTAAACAATCAGTCGGACGGAGGATTAGGGGTTGAAGATCAACCTGTTCCGCCGAAATGAATTTAATGACTATATTCATATAAATATTCATTAGTAAACATTTCATAAATAGAGCCCTGAAGTTTTTTACGAAAACTGAGAGGCTTACCAACACTGCGTTATTGAATCTCAGAATGGTTATAGGCTCCTCGTGGAGGTATGCAGATGTGAAGTCAATTATTGCTTAGTCAGATGAAGTGCTAAACAATAATCCAGTTAAGGCGTAGAAAAGGGTTATGAAGAAATTTCGTAGTTAATAGATAGTAAAACTGCTCAAATGCACTGACTCAACTAGCCATAACATAATAATAAATGTTTAATATGACAAATATTATTATGAACTAATGAAAGCACTCTGAAGTAAATTTCTGACTGAACATACTGGATTGCTTTTTTTGACGTTGATTCATTAATATTTTGCTTGAGATCACACTTGATGTTTTAACAGGATGAAAATTAGTATTCATTAGCTTTGTTTGATTTTATTTTATGATTGTAAAAATGCGTGTGTTAGAAAAAAAGCGAAAAAATATCTTTTGCATGTATTGTTTAATCATGTTCTCAACAACTACAAAAATGTTTGAACACTTAAATTTTAAGAATTGACTAAATTTTATGAAAAATGTTATCAATCAGGGTATACGGTATGAAGTCAATTTTGCAATGCTATATAAGAATTACTAAGTAAAAATATGAACAATGCCTCACCAAGGTATATATATATTGTGGGACGTTAGGACAGCGCACCGTCCTACAAGTGGCCTCACTGAAGTGAAGGATTAGCCGAAGTAGATCAAGAAACGACTTGCGTTCTATAACATTTCTTCATTTGATCGATTCTGACCTCTTTTCTCTTAAATTTTTCCTATAATAATATAATTTGCACGCAGTAAAAATTGATTTCAATTATTTCATCAAGCGGTAATAGCTTATACTAAATGATGCCCTTGCTAAACAATCGGACACTTCTTTTATATTCAATCCTCGCTGTACGATTGTTTGTAGAGCTGCATCTTTCTCTACTCAAAAGTATTTTTCTAAAGTATTTTCGTATGTGATCCATTTTTCATCACATATAACGATTAATGTTATGTAGAATATATGTTAACATATGTAGAGTATATTATTTTGAATTATATATGGTAAAGTGTACACTCTTTATTTCACGATTTGGTTCACAGATGAAAATCTCATCCGTTAAATCTTACTTAATGTAAATGGTACCTCATACATAAAGCTTATATTTATAACCAGATTTATGTAAATGATGTAAAACAGTGTTGTTGTTGATCGGTACTTCCTTATAGCTTTTCAAAATAAAATATTCATAAATTCATTGATTTTACCGGTGATATGCCGAACAGAAAGGAAAGTAAATTAATTAATTACGGAAGACGGAAATCTTTTCACATGGTTGAGTTATATCCTAACTTTATTGTGGAATATTGTTATAATACTGGATTTTTTTTGAAATTCCAGTCGTAATTTTTTATATAACTTTAACTAAAAACACCAATCTCAGGAAAATAGTCACCAATTATCAAATAATATGTTATCTGCACAATACAAAAAAAAAAGGATTTCCATATTTCACAAAGCGTTTTAAAGTTATTGTACTACCAGGTTAACAAACAGAAAAATGCCGAATAGTTTTTGCCCAGTCCAATATATATGATAAACTTTCTTTAAATTGTAATATTATAATATTTGCAATATTTATTAGAAAGCCAAAAAGTCAAAATGATTCATTTTTTTATTTGTATTTTTAAATAAAATTGTTTTATTTTTTATTCAACCCACATCATGTTTCAGATTTTGAGTTTTAATTATTATTATTTATTAATTTGTCATTTTTATTCAGTTTCCAACATTAACAATTGACTGTATATGTGTTATTTCCTTGGTAGCTTTCATACGAGATGAGTATATATTATATGTATATATAATATATATTACATAAAATAATAAACTATCGAGGTAAACTAAAGAGTATCTTTTTAAATTTTTAGGTGATAAAAAAAGCTATCACTTCAAACAGTTTTTAATTATTTTTTGTGTGTATTTGTGTGGATACAAATACGATAAGAAGTATACAATAGATGCTTAAAAAGTTTCGTATCCAACAAGAAACAAATACTTTTTTATTAATTTATTGAAATTTGGCTATAATAAATTAATTGAAAATTATTGTTGTTGTTTCTTTATTACAATTCGAACACTTCTAACTTATAAATAGTTTCTTTTTTCAAAAATTTTTTTGAAATATATAAAGTTCTTCAAAAGTTGTCCATCTAAATAGTGGATTGCGTTAAGGACTTTTAAGTATCTTTGAAAATAAAAAATAATCAACAAATGTCAGTTTTAATGATCTCAAGAATATAGGTGATGGTAAATAAATTCGAAATGAAATTTTAAAATTTTACGAATATCAGATGTAAACATTTTTAAAAACTTTTTATTAATAAAATAAAAAATATTTTTTTGGTGAAACCGATTTACTTTATTCCAAATACAATAAGTGGCTTAGGGTACTGGCAGGGATGCCCTTCAAATTCTCTGTATATCCTTCCATAGTCATGTTTTAAAAAAGCTTAAATTCGCACGGTAGATATGGGAAGTACTTAATAAGTTATATGCGATTTTTGGTAAAAAAAATCTGCACAAATGTCGATCCATGAGGGGTCCTATAAGCTTAACTTATAGGACCCCTTATCTGGAACTGCTTCCAGATAATATCAAATTAAAAAAATGTATTTATTTTCACTTTATTTTAACAAGATTTTTTATGTTTTGGCTTGTCTGGCCTCTTCTGTTTGAAAGTTTGGAGTCTGGTATTTTGATTATATTAAAAATACTACGTTTCATTTTCAGGCACTTTTTAAGAAATTTATTCTTTTTAATATAATCTATTAATCTAAATTTAATTTAATCTAGAATTTAATTTTTGAATCTAAGTTAATTTACAATTTTTGATGTTTTCAA